GAGGAGGAGGAGGAGGAGGAGGAGAAAAGAGATGAGATCGAGGGAGACAAGTAAATCGTAGAGTGGTCTGTCTGCAAGGCCAGGTCGCGCCATCAACAAAGAGACACCTGCACCATGGCAAATCTCCAATTTTCCTTCCTTGGAAGGAAACGCATCACGTCATAGCCACAGCCAAAAGTACGCCAAGTACCCAAGGTCTCTACGGTAGTCCTGGTCATACCAATCCACTACATCCTTCCCTTATAAACAGCTGTCTCTGCCTTTGTGACCACACTCCTCCATCTTCAATCAAACAATCCAAGACTTCGAAGAACCCACCCACCTATCAATCTCTTCAAAGAACCTCATCCTTTCGCAATCATGTCTCTTCACTGTACGTATTTTCAACACTCGGGAGTTGCGTCACGACATCGTTCCATTTGAGCCCAGCCCAGCCAAGCAAGCCAAGCTCACAGCTCGTGTTGACAATTGGTCTCCACACCTTTGTTTGGATCGTGATGCGCTCAATCCATCACCCCATCATGCCTCAATTGTGTTTAATCTGACTTACTGTAATCGTTCCCTACTAACACATCCTCCACCTCCAGACCTACCACCAGTCAAGCCCTCCGCCATTGCCCTCGGCACCGTTTTCAACCACGCCGCCTCCCTGGCTATCCTCGGCCCCGTCTTCGGTGACACCTACCACCGCGCCCTTTCTGCCAACTCCAAGGAGGAGTTTGTCAAGTCCAAGGAGGCCGCATCCGCTGCCGCAGCATGGGGAACTTCTCTCGTTGGTAGCGCCGTTCAATCATACGGTGTCGGTGCTTTGATCAATGCTACTGGTACTCTCTCATACAAGGGTGCTGCGTATCTCGGTTCCTTGATCTTCTTTGCTAGCTCTGCTCCTTCGGTATGGCGAACATATATTACCCATTAAATCCACCTACTGATTCTGTTTCTAGTTCATCGCCCAAGTCGTCACTGAGAAGCGTCCTCTTGATACCGTTGCTGTTGGTGCTCTTGCCCGTGTCTTTGAGACTGTTGGCCTTTCTCTCTTCCTTACCTGGTGGGGTACTCACACGAATCCCTTTGAGTAGAGGTTGAGTTTCGCATCTCGAAGTTTGGAGTTGGCGGGATTGGAAGGAAATGTATGATGGGAGTGGCTCATGGCCTTATGTATTTATTCAGCAGCAGAATCAGGCAGTGAATTTCTCGTTTGCTGGTCAATTGCCCTCGGTTTATTAAGTCGTCGGAATAAAATCACAACTTCAAAAACGAATCCTCTTGTGGTGCTTCCTTATTGTGACATGCTGAAGGTTGTCTAGTCTTTTTGCATAGTCGTCAGCTAAGTAGCTTCAAGGTAGCCGTATCAAGGTTAACACTCACGGGTGCCTAAGGTACATGGGTTTGCTGCTTCTCGCAGATTTTCTCCTTGGGCCCCAGGTTCCGTACTTCCTAAGCCTTTTGTTGGGTATCTTAATTACCAATTAATCAATGCGGGGGTGAGCGAGGTTGTATACTTGGGTACTCCTTTGATATTCTGTGTAAGACGAAAGGCAGATTTGCCACGTTGGTTCTACTCAGGCTATCACAGGGCAAGTGAAGAAGGAAGTAAGAGCAATGTAGCCAGCCAATCAATACATGCTTTGGTTACAAGTAGAAAATACAAAGCACCTATGCCAGTTTTCAATCTTCTGCCAACCCAATCGTCATAACTTCCTTCCAAAACTCGAGTATCATATAGGTATAGCGTTATTAATTTTCCCACTCAGTTGTACGGGAGCTCCCAACATTCTGACAAAATCAGTAAGAGAGGGGGATTGGGTTGCAGCAAATTAGGCATACTTCTTTCCAGTCTCTGTCATACCGCACCCACAGAATAGCGAGGCTGGCCAGCAAACAATCTAGGCAATGGGGACATCAGCGGTTGTTTGTTGAGGACCGTGGTCTGGAAGTTAGGGTCCATACGGCAAGAACAACGGTTGAGAAAAACCCTAGCGTTGGTCCTATTACTTTGCAATGACAAGGGTTCTGATCTGTGCCACATTGGAAACAGATAGGAGGTCCAAATCCAGGTATAGGAAGGCCGGACATGTTGTTGGAAAGTGATGGGGGTGGTGGGGAGGTGAAGGATGAGAGATGAGAGATGAGAGATGAGAGATGAGAGATGAGAGATGAGAGAGATGCAGGTAACGGAATGTACAAAATCGACAGAACAGGGTGAATGGGAAGTTTTGTCTGATCAAGATAAAGTTTGGACAAGAGCTTGATGGATGGCACTGATGGATGGGTGACGTAACTTGGTTTAGACATAGCGGACGCCAGCTCTCATTTTGTAAGATCTCACTGACAAGATGGGACGGAACTTGGGAAGGAGGGATAAAGAGTCAAAGGCTAAAAGTACCATGCAATTGTTCTAGTATCCCCATATACAGGCCTCGGCTCCATGCTGCCGGACAGGATGCGGAAGTTTCTTGTGACATGAGGATTTGGTTTTGAAATACAAAAGTACGGAGTCATGGAGATGGATGGGATGGTGAACCTGCATCATTGGATTTTGAGGTTACGCTAAGCCTTTCTTAGCGACGGATAATTATTGTTCATCCTCCGGCCATATGTCAAGTCAAGGTCAAGGTTCTTTTGAATCCTTCCCTTCCCTTCCCCCGTTTTTATGCGGCTGAAGATATCAGCGGCTAAGGTAAGATCACTTCATCACTAAGTACTTCTGTACCTAGGGGACTACGTCTCCGTTCCGTTGCACCTTCCAGTCTCCGATGAGCTGAGCTGTACAGTACCGTACAAATTACCTCAATATCATCTAGAGCCATGCGGCTGTGGAAACATATTTGGCTTGGGCTCCTATCCTATTTACCCTACCGAGGATAGCATACTTTTTGCACATCCTATGGTTGGTATGACAGCTCTATGAGAAGTTGCCAGTTCCATATTAGGGACCTAAGTGGCGTAGAACATTGTGACTTGTACGATGCTGGGCTGTTAGTCACTTGCCTAGTCGAAATATCGGACTAAAGAAGTAGACAAGACGCCGTTTAGTCGGCGGTTTATTGCTATATTAGCCTCATCATTTAGAACTAGAAAGGCCGTTTGTAACGACTAGATTGATTGTGGTAGGGTAGGGTAGGTAGATCTGAGGTGAAGGCCAGCCAGCCATTTGATCTTGCCTCATGAGAGACACTGATCTCGTGTTCCATTTCCTTTGACAAGCCCCTTTTCTCTTCAGAGGCATTCTTAAGTAGCAGCATGTCTGTTATTCAAATACAAGCAATGTGTTCTTAGGTGTCTGCTTGTACCTACCTATAGATAGTCTAAAGGATATCTGCTCTCTAGATGGCACTAGGAACCGAACAATAGAACGGGAAAGAGGCAACGGCGTTCCAAATCCAAAAATGAAATCATGAGTAAACGAGAATTCACTGGAAATATTCTCTGTTTGAACCTTTCTGGCTAGCCTAGGCAAACTAATGACAGCATGCGATCGCGAGTTCAAAGACTTAAAGTCAGGACAATCCCCAACTCTCGTCGTCTCATCACCTGACGCCGTCCAGAACCCTGCGCTGCTCTCACCTCGGATTATCGCAATCGAGAGAGATGAGTTCCGAAGCCCCATCCACGACAACATCAATTCCACAACGCGAAGACGGCCCTGTAGCCGGTGAAGGAGCTGTCACTCGTATTGATGCGACAGCGATGACTTCACCGCAACCCGACCCCGGCCAAGGCATTATCGCTGCAATGGCGACGACCAACCTCGACGCTCACAACCCCCCCGCCCCCCGACGACCAACTCACCGCTGGAGAGAACCGCGTCGAGGAAGGAGGAGGAGACAACAACAGCAGCAGCAACAACAACAATAATCACACGAATAGCGACAGCGTAGATCAGAACGCAGCCCTCGAAACTAATAATGCGGGCGATTCGGCAGGATTGGATACAGGCGTGGAGCAGACCGGCGACGAAGTACAAGCACCAGGCGCAGGGGACCTACAATTTGAATCCAACCTGAATCAAGCTATGCTGCAATCACAACAGATGTTGCTGGCCCATGCCGATTTACTTCCAGAATTTCAACCCGGCTACTACGACACCCCAGAAGGCATCGCCGCCCTGATAGCCATGAATGGGACGATATCATCACAGCCATACTTGGATCCATCCCCGGACATTCATGGATACATGGGAGAGTATGGTTCTCAGCAGCAGTATGTGGAACCCGACCCAGAAGCCCAACACGCGTATGAAGAGAACGAAGAACCGCGCATTTCAGCATATGCCAAGCTTGAATTCCCAGATGGCCATTTTTATATGAACACGTATTCTTTGCACGTAGGCCGCGACCAAAAGGGCTATCGGGCTGCAATGCGCCGAGAGAGAGACGCAGCTCGAAGAGCCGTCGAGGAAGCTCAAGAACCTCATACACCTGCACGATCAGCGAGGGGTAGTCATTACAGCGTCAGCGAGCCCGGTGGGATTCTACGAGAAGGCAATGATTCAGATGACGAGGAGCGCGAGCGAAGACGTAGGAATCGCAGAGCCAGCAAGAAGTCTAGCAAGAAGTCCAGATCTATAGGATCTTCACCTCAGCATGATCCAGAAAGAACCTCTTTGGCAGTTCCAAATCAGCCATTTCCATACGAAGCCAATTATTCAGCAGGAGTATCTGTACCAGACATGAACGACCCCACCATAGATCCAAGTTCACTTCGGCCTTCTCCCCACACATGCCCTCTGATTGGCATCCACCCAGAAGGGATTCAGGAAGCTAAACAATATAAAGCTATCTCCCGAAAGCACTTGAAGATCGCCTATAACGCTAAGAAACGCATATTCGAAGCAGAATTTCTTGGTCGGAATGGCGGCTTCGTAGAAGATGTATTTTATCCCCGAAAGGAAAAAGTGCCGCTTCGCAGCGGTACGAGATTGCAGCTCGCCAGTGTTGTCATGAAGTTTGTTCTGCCCGATTCTGCGATTGGTGAAACTGGTGCCGAACAGAGATCAGAGTACGCAGATGACGCCTCTTTTGCGCGTTACTCGGAAGGAGGCAAAGAGATGAGCTTTGAATTTGATGGTTCCAGACAAGGTGCCGATGGACGTGATACAAGCGAAGATTCGCTAGAAGACGTCGGCAGCGATGAGGAAGACGAAAGAGGCACGTCTAGCGGGGATGAGGGAAGTGAAGAGGGCGAGAACGAGGTTGAAGAGGACGAGAACGAGCTCGAAGAAGGAGATGACGACCAAGAGGATCTGGAGGATCTGGAGGAGGACCTAGAGCACCAATCTGCTCCTCCTGACAGCGGCACGGGACTTGCAATGGCCAAACGCGAGAAAAATCTGGAGCAAAGCCCCAATCTTCAGAAGAAACGGGGCCCTGGCAGACCCCCAAAGAATGGTGTCATGTCGAAGCGTGAGGAGAGGGAGGCGAAGAAGGCTGCTGCTGCCTTGCAGCAAGAGGATCAGATGGCTACACAGGCGGGACCTTCTCAATCGCCAGTTCTGGGGAAAAATAAAGTCGGCCGCCCACGGAAACATCCTAGGCCTGATATACCCGGGGAACCAAAGGAAAAGAGAAAGTACACCAAGAGGAAACCGAAAGAGTTGAAAGAGGGAGAGGTTAAGCAAGAAGGTTCAGGTGAGGACCAGCCTGCCAAGGAGAAGAAAGAAAAGAAGCCGCCTAGACCAGCTCGCTCGCCAACTCCAACGTTCAACGCAGAAGATCTTTCGCCAGATCAACTCCTGAAGCCAGGGGCAAATTACGTTACCCTAATCCATGAGGCTCTCACGAATTCTTCAACTGGCCAGATGTCATTACCGCAGATATACCGTGCTATTCAACGGAAATACCCCTTCTTCGTTCTCAAATGCACTACCAATGGTTGGCAAAGTAGTGTGCGTCACAACTTAGGCCAACATAATGCCTTCAAGAAAATAGCTAGGGAAGGCAAAGGCTGGCTGTGGGGTATTGATGAGGGCGTTTCTATTGAGAAAGAAAGAAAGAAGAGGCTCACTCCTCCTCCGTATCCCACGGGTCAAAATCATCAGCCGATCCAGGCAAACTATATGCCTATGATGCCAGGACACCCCTATCAAATGCCTCCAGGGTATCCGCCACATTACCATCCGCACCCACCACATTTCCAACCTGGACAGCAACCCCAATACCTTCCTCCGAATCAACAAATGAACGGAAACCCAATGCCACCAAATCATCATCTCCATATGAATGGCCCCCCTCCTTCATTCGCAGCCGCCATTGCTCCTCAACTGGCTGCGTCAAGTGGTCCCTCTACGTATAGTTCACCGTACGCGCCAAAGCCTGCGCCGTCAACTGTCCCCCCGGAGAGCCAACAAGCTCCAACTGAAGACAGGCAAGCTCCGCCACCTCAACCACCCCCAGTGCCTGAACCCCTTCAGAAAACCCCCACAGTCCCACAAAACAAGCAGGATGAGAAGAACGAGCAGATTCCTCAACCACATGTACCGGACAAGCACAGTGTTGAAGTCATTGAAAGTTTCAAACATAGTCTGAGGGAACGGCTAGAAAACGTGATCGGCTCGGTCAGTGTAGTTGACGCGCTGTTAACTTCTGCGGCAAACAGGGTGCTTGGGCTCTCAAGTGAAAGCGCAACTGGTGATGCTCGCGAGGAGCAGATTGTCGAACACATGAAGGGCACATTGGCTACCGCAAGGCAGTCGAATATCGAATCAATCCCAGGAATATCTGCCCCGATGAAGCCGCCTGATTTGTCGGCCGTTCAAGATCCGCCACAGCAACTAGCGAATCACGAAGGAACACAATCTACTGCATTTCAACAGGCCGTTAATACTACTGCTACTGGCTCTGGCCCAGAAAGGCCGAGCCCGCTAGTCACGAGACCAAGTTTTGGGCAAGGTCGAACAAATGGACCCTCGATTCCTAGACCGCCAATGATGGCTCCTTTGATGAAGAGAACCAATTCAGGAAGTTCAGCTAATGCACCATTTCTGCCAAGCGCACCGTCTTCGGCCTCAACCGCTGCAGCTCCAGACCCTATCTCTACGAATGGAGCCAGCACACCAAAGCTTGCTGCAAGCGAGACAATGCAGAACGAGGGCATGCAGCATACCTCACGGAAGAGGGAGAGGTCGGAAGAGAACGACCCCGATGACATGCGGGACATCAAGAGGATGGCCACTTCTGGTCCCCCTCAATTAAAAGCATAATTGTGCTTACATAGATAGGAATGGATTTGGTGATTGGGGTTCGATAACCACGGCGGCGTATGGAGTTGATTCAAAACTTTATCGCATAAAGCGAATTGCTTGGTGTACCGTTGTTATTTGATACATTAGCAAATACAATCACGCGTTGTATTATCCAGGGCTGACTGCATTGGCTGGCCAGTAGATATATATCACCACTCGGTAATGAATCGACATATAGTGCCTACTTGGAATACAACTCGTTAAGTTCATGGGACTCAGTCCTGTCCTGTCGTGTCATGGCGTGATGTAGCCCTGGAGTTTGATGGCATTGCTGCAAGTGCGGTTTGAATGAATTGCTTTCGATCGGACCAGCAGGAACTCCTAGTATCTATAGTATATATTGCAAGTAGGTACACTTTTCATGTATTCACCTGTAGCGTACGGCTGTTTCTCATGGTGGCGCTTATGTACGGTGCGTGCAGGCTCATGTGTATGATGTATCATCCTGTGGCCATTTAAACTGTTGAATTCCAGTCACAAGACTCCGGAGAGCGACAAGTAGCTCTGGGAGTGAGCAAGATTCAATGTCTCTTCCCTGCCTGGTCATATTCATTATGATGCATTGGCCCAAATCCCGCTTTGAGCATGCTTGGGACATGCCAGGGGTGTGCGTGGAAGCCTGCGCATCTCCCAGCTCTGGCATAGTATACGAAGAGTCACTAGAAATGATTCGAATGTGAAGTAGCATTTTACTCTCCTTCTTTCGCCCTGCATAAAATTGCCCAGGTCCACGCTCTCATATTCTCAATTGCTTGGCTATTTCCTATTGCACTATCTGGGTTGCGCAAAAGTCGGAGCTCAATCTAGGATCTGACGTGAGCCGCCTTATGAAGAAGTATTATACTTCGAAAGACGCCCACAGCACATTCAGAGGCAGCAACTCCGAGGTCAGAATCATAGGGCGAGTGGCAGCTATGGCCTTTCAGGTACAACGGGAAAGATGTCGACGTCAGTCGAACTCGATTCGAGTGGTATTTCACTTCTTTCGAAATCTAAGGCACCGGCAGAACATTATTACAGTTTTTGAGAGACCCCACTTCGGGGAGAAGTGATGCCGGTTGAGATTTCTGATATCGGAACTCTTTTCAGGCGGCGGATATTTGTAAATTTGTTCGCCCTGAATGACATTTTCCCTCTTCCCAACCGGTAAGTCAAATGCTCCACATATCAAAGCAACTCAACTGAATGACTGAGGTATTTCTGCTTATCTTTCCGTACCGGAGGTCTGATTTTGAGAGGCTCCGGATGATCCGGTGGTATGGTTACGGGGACGCAAAATTTCGCCCGGTTCCTGTCGTACTTCACCTCAACGAAAGGCTGAGCGCCGGGACCTGAGCATTATCTCATCCCCCACGGACGAGTCTTGTCTTGTGGCTTCTTTCCCGGCGACTTGTCGTAAGGTTATATAGCTTCAGCCTCGCCAGCCGCATGGGAAAAGAAATGTCTCACGTGCCCCATGGACGTGACATGAAAAGTTCCCGCCGACGCGCATACCCCACGCCGGAATGCTTAGCATAAGTGAAATCCTCGTTTCGTAAAAGAGTGTTTCTCAAGAAGAGAAAGGTAGTCCGCGAGGAAAGCCGAGTATGCCGCGGGATGTGGACATGTCGATTGGAAGAAGCAACATGCCTTTTACTCCATTTTCTTCCCTGAGGACTACCTCAGGCTCTAATCGAGGCTCATATGTGAGAGTATGAGCTTTCCGAGCTCCGAAGTTGAGGGCGTACCTTCTGTCCTATGATCACTTCTCTGATTCTCAAGGCTTTGGAAACCCCCATCTTAGGTGCCCCCCAAAGGTCATCCTGACAACCAAGCAGCAAATTTTTCGCTCTCCAGTCTGTCTCTATCGAAAAATTGTCCTCAGTTTTAGGGTACGGAAACAAAGTTTTCGACGGGGGTCTCCCGAAGAATGAGAGGGACGCTTACATGGTGTGAATAAGACGATGTGACCAGATCAGCGGCAAAGTAGGGCGAGAGAGAATGAATGGCAATGTTGCTTTTCGCCACTTGGCTATGGAGGGCTTTGTATTCAGAGTCGATTCTGTAGTGCTTGATATCGCTTGGTTTGCGATGCTGATCGAACATCGAGAGACAATATGCGAATACGCATGTCGATCCTATGTTGGGTTGGAATAGAGTCTAGTGGAAGTGCCAGACGTTCTATAAGACTGTAGCTCTACCTTCATATTCCCCGATCCCCGTTTTAAGTGCAGCAGGGTTGGAATGCATGTTTATTGCATGTTCCCGAGTCAATGGAATTTGATGTCCTATCTCCAAGTTGATTGGGGTTCCATTGAGACACTCTGATATTGCTTCCATCGGGCTGTTGCCCGACTCCTGTGGAAGATAATTTCGGGATTTTTCCGTCGTAACGAAAGCATCATTTGACGTAACAGCAATCTCCTTTACGTTCCACACAGAGCAACTAATGTTGATACGAACCGCATAAATGTTGTAGTTATGGTAGAAGCAAGTATTGGTTACCCCAAGAGGGTTGCCCGCTTAACAAGGGAGTGAACACCAATCAATTGTCAGCCTTGGTGAGGCTTCAGTGCTTCACACCGCTAAGCCGAGATCAAAGTCGGATGGTGCAATGTACGCATACATGCGTTGAAATACGTGGCTTAGCGGAGCCTGCTGAGTCCTTAGCATGAGACAGCAGCTTAGTGCAGCTGGATCTAGAAATCGGCTGCAACTTCATCATCTAGCCAGTGATTTGCCACATTTTTAGCACCCCTCGATATAAGAACAAGTACAGCCTTCTATCTGAAGCCTCTGTATCGGCATCTACTCAGGACCGAAATTAGATCCTTGTTCATAATCTTTAATTCCTCTTTAATGCCTTTATAGGGTTTACTCTACCCATATATTTGTACAAATGAGTTCCGCTGAGAAAAACCAGTACTTCATAACGAATGTTGACATCAACAAAAAGGTCATAACACAAGAAATTCAGTACTATCTTGGTCCAGAATCAACGGTCCGGCCATACACGCGAGCGGTTTGTATCCTCATCCTCATACTCAGCTTCTGCGCTAATCTAAGCACTAGGGCGAAGACGGCTTCCTCATAACCACTCCTGGAGAGTGCTTGACAGATGTAAGCAAGAAGCATAGACCGGAACATCTACTAGACAAGGATTCTTTTGACGGTATGGATAGGAGCAGATAGACGACATCTGCCACAAAAGCAAGGAAGTCTGGGAGAAACAGGCAGCACAGCGTTCGAAAAAAGAGTCTGATAAGCAACTTAAACGACCTCTCCACCAACCCATTGTTGTATCTCGGGGTTCGAAATCAGATCATTCAAGGCATCGTCGGCATTCCGACGAGCGGGGTGAGGGTTCATCGCGACGTCGTTCAGACGAGCGCAAATATGGAGAGAGTTCGCGGCGGTGAATAACAATGCTTTTACATCTCATTTGGGACATTCAGAGTTTTGTTTTATTTCCCTTTTCTAAAGTTTCAAGGCTGGAGCGGAGAGATTCTTTCGATAAGGCGAAGAAGTTCGTGGGCTTTCCAAAGAACTGCATAGCGAGGCTGTTTGAACTTACTGCATTTTGTTGAGGTTTATTTGGTCTGGTGTTGGGTCTGATTCTCATACTGCTCAAATTTAGTTCGGCGTTCTGTATGGCCCCCTTCAATCACCACGAAGTTATCTTGAGAATCTTCCTTGCAAGACTGTGAATATAAGCGGTGTTTATTAATAAGCCACCGCCACATAGAATCATAATGCCTTCAGCTGAGGTACTGTAGAAAATTCTAACCCCCCGTGTGTACCCACACCGTATGATAGCCTCACGACACGCGGACGTTGTATGCATGACACTTTATGTCATTTCGCGAGGCTGACCGTCGCCACTTTAGGGGTTAGCCAAATATTTGGCGAGGCGATACCACACATACTTCGTGCATGATGCGAAATGTGGCTGAATATAAACGCCACTCGCCTTGCCAGTTGATCTTGATTACCGTTAACAACATCAGATGAGAGACTCTTTGGAAATAGAGCGAGTCTCATTGGTAGTCTCCATCGAATCCCCGAAAATCAGACAATTCGCAAACACTACTTTAACTCGTCATCATACTTGAGACAGTCCATGGAAGTTATCCTTCCTCATAATTCAAAGAAGAGAAGAAGAAGTCCTAAGAGCAGCACCGCGACTGGAAGTAGTCAGTCTCTGTATTGCCTGAGAAGATCACCTTGGTACGAGCGATACGAGACAACGACACCGAGCAGGCAAGCCAAGTAAAGAAGTGTTCCGGGTTCTTAGTGAGTGGAAGACAATAGATACCCATGACGGCCAAGGCCCACTTAGACCTCGTAACAGAGGTGCAACGTGATGAAGGCAGAATACAACCACTGAACTGATTATCTACTGCTACCCTTGAGATGTCACTTTTTGTAGGTATATGCACACATGTGAGAAATCTATGGAAAGATTTTGTGGCAACCAAAACTGGAACTTTTCAAGAACCGACTGCATAATCATATCTTATTCGATGAAGTCATGTTGACGCTAGTCTCATGTTGGAAACCTACAGGTTCAGCAGCTTCGAACTGAAGCATAATTCGGCAAACAAATTACCAACGGCTAGAACCTGATGGCAGCAAGGACTCGGCGTGCGGATTTCAAATATTCAACTTCAACGCCAATACACCACTAAACTAGATTAGCAATAACGAAGAACAAATACTGAGCAATAGACTGACGAAGATTCCCATAGGGATGGTGCCTCCAATTCCCGTCAGAACGTTTTGCGCCGATGCGGCTATCCTTCTCATGGCAGTGCTGAATTAGCAGGGCATTACTAGGCTCAGCAACTCAGCATTCCTTTCCGTGATGCGGGTTTGGATCAAGACGCGGGACGCTTGATAGAACATAGGTAGCCCTCGTGCCCTAATACCCCGAAGTGACTGCTCCAACTGAGTTTCGAGCCCTAGGTCATTTACTTGTTTTCTGTTGATCCAAGCTTCGTTCGTAAGTCTGAAGATTAAGGGAGCTAGAAGACCATAATACAATGGCTTGAACCGGGACCCCCGACTCATTAATCACGGAGTGTTTTGGCTGGGACTCCGCTTGAATATAACCCATCACGTTGACCCATTCCCCAGTACGAGTCTCATGTGACTTTATGGTGTTCAATATAAGATCTATATTGACAAGAGCTCTCAGGGTCTGTCCCGGTGGATAGTTGTGCTCGAGTGTGAGGGTAGCCGTTTTTGTCGAATAATTCGTAATGCTATGGGTTTGAAGACTTAGCGGAAAAGCTCCTGCAAAGATACTACTCCTTGACACAGGCGAAGATTGAGTCCATCGGGCAGAGAGAAAGCTCAAAAGGACAGGAATATCCAATGACAAGGTTCTGGCTGTACAAGTTTATGGAACACACTGGAAGCGGACAAGGCAATTCTTCAACCAAGGGTAGAAGGACAGGATAAGGAAAAAAGGCCAAGAACAGGTAGATATATAAAAGTTCAAGTAAAGAGAAGTGGGAAAAGAAGAGAAGAGAAGAAAAACAAATAACTCACCACCCAAGAAAGCGGACCTTGGTGCCTGGTACGAACTTCGGTAGCTCGGAAAGCAAAGTCAACGTGGTAGGGACAGGGCCATTCTGAACACCAGCCATGGCCGTGGTCGTGGTCGTGGTTTGACTTTGAGGCTCAATTCAACTAATGTCAGATGAGGGCCGACGAGAGATGCGTTACGAGGTATTTAACGACACTTTACGTACCTAAGTAAGGTATTGTGCCAACCTCTTCTGGCGTTATCTTCATGTAATCATGGATCTGTAAGGTTTGCTATAGTACTGTACCATTTACCGTAAATACACGCTAGTCCCGATCAAGGTTAATGTTAGTCTCTAGTGGCGCGTCATTGAGACACTGGAGGCACGACAATCATCCACCACCACCACCTCAGCAGGCAACGAAAGATAGATATCAACAGTCCGCGTCACGAATACCCTCATATTACCTCCAATACTACTGCCGTATCAGCTGTGCTCAATAACATACCCACCATTCAGCGACTGCTTCTTGCGATATTCACCACGATCTTTTCTTCGTCTGGATTCCGAACAGCCCCACCATACATCTCCAACCTTCTGATAGCATCACTCAACTCGAAGCGCTGATCCGAACGACTCTTCATATTAGCAAGACTATCCGAACTGTTCTTGGCCATACAACAGGGCTCGGCGGTCCGTCTACATCGAATCTATCGGGCCAGTAATTCACAATACAAGAATGTCTGGAGTGTGGGGTTGGTTTGGGGGGCAGAGTGCCCAGAAGAAGAAAGATTCCCCTAAGAATGCCATCCTTGGATTAAGATCGCAGCTTGAGATGCTGCAGAAGAGGGAGCGACATTTGCAAAATCAGATGGATGAGCAAGACGGCATCGCCAGGAAGAACGTGAGCACTAACAAGACCGGTATGGTTACCCGGAACGCCTTAGGACTGTGTCCTTGGTTTTCTCAGCTGGCGGAAGTTTTTTTTTGTCATCTGCTTTATAGCCAAGTCTTGCTGACTATTTGATACAGCCGCAAAAGCAGCCTTGCGCCGCAAGAAGCAACACGAACATACCCTTGAACAAACAACTGCTCAAGTAGCGACCCTCGAACAACAAATATACTCGATCGAGGCGGCGAATATCAACAGGGAGACTCTTCTCGCCATGGAGAAAGCCGGTGAAGCGATGCAAGCTATCCATGGCAAGCTTAATATTGACAAGGTCGACGAGACAATGTACGTTCTGTCTATAGAATTCATGATGCTCGGGTTCAAGTTGCTGACATTACGCGCGCAGGGAAAAACTCCGAGAACAACATGCGCTAGGTGAAGAGATTGCTACTGCTATTACAAGCGCACCTATTGGCGAACCTATCGACGAGACTGAGTTGGACGATGAGTTAGCGGAGCTTGAGCAAGAGCAACTTGATGATAAGATGCTGCAGACGGGAGCTGTTCCTGTCTCAGATGAGATACATAGATTACCGGCTGGTGTCAATGGAGAGAGTAAGTCCCTGAAGTTTATCACACTCGTTGATCTCTGGCTAACGTAACCCAGTCAAAGCCCCTAAAGGCAAAGCACCTGTACATGCTGAGGAGGAGGATGAAGAGGAAGAACTACGGAAGCTGCAGGCTGAAATGGCCATGTGACGTAGCATTGTACTTGGTCACCGCTCGCCATTCCATCTGTCAAGACTCGCTCACCATGCGCTATATTTGGACCTGCATTACTAGGGGTTCTGGTTGTTTGGGTTCCCACGTCGTGCCTTTAAGATTCCTGGTCCACTTTTCTAGCCGGCGTTTTAGGATCTGCTGTACATTTTCGAATACCAAATACGAGTCTTTTGATCGACTTCACACTGGACTCAACCATCTGAGTCAGGATTTGCATCACGTGCCACTTTTCACCAATTAATGCCAAGAAGACTAAAGCAAGTATCTAGATAAATGGGCAAACTTGGGGGACTGGAGAGTAATGAGTGACCTGAGAAGCTGAGGCTCATCCTGATATCAAGAAATCGCCCATGCTTCAGGATACAACGTGCAATCATCGTGTGAAGTAATACTTACTAACCAACTATAAAGTCAGGTAGGCTACGAGTAGTCCTAGGTATACTGTAGAGTGAAGCACCAAGTCACCTCACGCGGGCTTGGTGGCCTATCGCTAAAGCAGACAAACTCGGCAAGCCAACCCCTGAACGCGGAGACGTTGACAACTCAGCGACGTTGTCTCCGGTGTTTTACCCTTCCAATTCCAATTTGATTGCCATCCATCGCCATCCTTCCCCATCGCCATCCCCATTCCCAATCCCAAGCCCATTGCCAACGTCACCCCACCTTATTTATTATCTGGGAGGGATGCGTACTGTACTTCTCCGTATGCTCTTCGTGATGCGACGCACGGCTCCACCCGCAACTCCCACGCAGATTGTTTTCATTGGCCACGACGTGGATCGCACGGCGTGGCACATACAGCCGGGAAATAGTATACAGAGTAAGGCGAACACGTTGCACCCAATGCACAAAATCAGTGCAGATTGTGGACTGCGGGAACGGGAAGTCAAGGACACCCTTTCAAAATCCAGGAACCAGTAGGGAAGACATCAGTTGTACCCAACCAACAGGTCCTTAGCACGCTGCAAGTAGAGGCATCTTGCGCATGTCGGCCAGCAAGACTCGAGTCCATCCCGTTGCGTCCTCACCTGCAGCATTGGGCAGCGTCCAGACAGTGCGAGTGCGAGAGATGGCCGTCCCTCGTCGACATCGGATCAATGCCTGAGCCACTTGCTGGCCACTTGGACGCGACGTGGCGCCACTCCATCATATTGACCTGATGGATAATGAGCCACGATACTGATCACTTGGACCTCTAATTCAGTAAGTCGTGGGGGTGTCCCTTCTCGTCGGCGTGGAACGCTAGTGTCACTTTCTTTCCTTTGCCATCCCCCCCTCTTTACCAATTGAACCGTCAGTTCTACTTAATTCGCCATTTGGCTTTTTTCATAGGCAGCCCTTTGGCTGCTGACTTAATAACCCGTTGACCCGTCACTTTTCAATTCCATTTCTCATTACAAGCATATTCCACGTCGGGTAACACGAATTTATTGTCCCCCATTGGGTTACCCACCCACACAGAGCCGAGAGCCCGTTATCACTGATCATGGGAAGAAAGAATAAGAAGAGTTCGAAGTTCATCTCGCTCGACAGTGCAGACTCTGTATCTCCTGACGAGATACAATCATCAGTATGGAACACGTTTCATTTAGTCCTTGCAGAACCGTTATTTACTCTCAATGGTTACCCGTGCAGACCACGGAACTCACTGAACCCGTAACGTTTACCCGTACACCGGACGACTTGGAGCTTCTGGATGCTTGCATAGAAAACCCCGATGGAGATGCTCCACCATCAGAGCACGAAGTTGTTGGTCAGTATGCGAGTCAATTGGTATACTGCAAAACTAATACGTCCACTTAGAAGAGTCTGGTAAGGGAGACCAAGATGGAGAAGATAAACATGATACCGGCGATAATTCCGGGGACGAAGCAGTCTCCCCGATCAAAGAGTCACCACCGCCTACGGAGAGCGTTCCAGATGCCTCTATTGGTGGAGAAAACATACAAGAACAAGCGGACGCAGAACCGGACCCGGAAGGAGATCTGAAGGTTGAGGAGGAGGGTAGTCGACCTGGACAACCTGGAGATCAGGAGCCTCCTAGTGATGTCTTACTTCCGTTGGAGGACGCCAGCAGTGCATCTCCAGATCCCGACATCCCGACAAAGGACGATGGCGGCGCATCGGAGGCTGTCGAGCCTTCCACCTCTCCATCACCACCAGCTCAAGAAGACGCCCAAGCCGACCCCCCCGAAGCCATCGAAGAGCCACAACAAGCTGGTATTGAAAAAATAGAGGAAGCAAACCTTGAGCCACCGGTAGAGCAGGCCGAGGAGGGCGAATCCTCCCAGCCCATCGAACCCCCGGAGGATAGCCCCTCCATGCTGGAAATTGAAAGTGAAGAGCCTTCTGCTCCAGCTGAACAAGAATCGAAAGCTTTAAAAGCACCGTCCAGCCCAAAGTCTGTACATTCAGTACACTTTGACGATGGGACTGCTCCTCCTGCTCCTCCTGCACTGGGTCCACCAAAATCCAAGAACAAGAATGAGAAGAAGTCTAAGAAGAAAGATTTAAAAAAGGGGAAGAGCTCCAAGTCTGAGAAGGAGACTAAATTCGAAAACCCCCCCGAACCCGAAAACCTCCCTGAGCAAGACAACGAAACGCTGAAGCAGAATGAGGAGACGCCAAAACCTGATAAGCAAGAGAAGCCCTCAAAGAGCAAGAAGGATAAGAGAAAAGACAAGGGAAAGGGAAAGGATAAAGGTGGCAAAAAGTCCATCGTCACCCCACCAACGCCTACTACCTCAGATGCTCCTGAACTCCCAGTAGAAGCTCAAGCAAGTGAGCCGACTCCACCACCTTCAGAGAATTCAGACGAACTGCCTGAGCCAGCCCCTGAAAATGATGCAACTGAGCAAACTAGCAACGACGCTGTTGCTGATGCCGTTGAAGAAACCCACCCCGAGGAGCCCACACCACCTTCTGAATCACCAGAGCCCGCCCCTGAAAATGACGCAATTGCGCAAAG